GGCAGCCCTCGCCAGCTCCCCTTGCAGTCCCTGCTCGTGGCATCTGGCTCGGGTTTACAGGTCTGGCTCTAGACAGGACTTCACACAGACCCTGTGAAAGGGCAGCTATTGAAAGAATACAATTTTTGTGGGCAGAAAAGAGGCGGGGCAGAGAAAGGGCTTTCTCAGGGTAAAGGGGCACTTCTACACTGCAGATTATCTCAACTGGATGGGGGACAGGAGGGGAATACAGCTGGAAGGTTTTCTTAGTCCTGTGCATCCCTAGTTTATCACTAAAAACCTTCACTGCTCTCCTCTCCTCCCCTCAAATTGAGGGCTCTTGTTGCCGCCACTGCTTTTCAGAGCAGCCTGCAGAGGGGAGGAAGGAGACAAAGGGACAAATGAGGAGTGACAACCTGCGAGCTACCTATCTCTGTTCTTCATCTTTTTTTCTCTCCCGCCTTGCCCCAAGAGGAATAGCAAGGCTGGAATCTGGGACAGCCCTACATCCCGTTTCCTTCTTGCAAAAGTGCTTCTTAGTGCTAAAACCAAGCGAGTGAGAAAATGGAAACAGGTCCTCCTCCCCTGGGGTCATTTGTCATGCTGCAAGCAAGATTTCACAGGCACTTCTGTGGTGACAGACGGCAAAGTGACTACAGAAGGATTCCAAGCCCAGCATGGGGTCAGGCTCTGCGGGAACCTCTTCCCAAACAGTTTTTGAAAGGGCTTGTTCCCATGCACACAAACCCAGCCGGCTGTACCCCCAGGCACCGGGGGGATTGCAAAAGCTGGCGAGGACGGTTGGAAGTGGGATCAGGCAAACTCACCAGCTGACGCTGAAGGTGAGGCAGCCAATGTTGGAGATGATGTCATTGAGGCGATGATAGACTCCCCCCCGGTGCTTGAAGTAGACGTTGAGCTTGGTGAATTCCAGCTGCACGTCATTGACGTCGTGCAGGAAGAGCACGAGGATGCCCACGTTGTGGTACCTGTAGGAGAAAGGGGAGCAGGGAGGCAGATGCGTGGGGCGGCGTGTTGATGTTAGCACCCAGCACCCACAGTCCATCACGCCGGGAGCAGACAGGCTCCCTGAATAACCCAGACAACCAGACCTGGCTCGGCACAGCGTAGCAGCGTGCTGCAGGGTGCGTCTGGCACTGTGCAATGGCTCATAAGCACTGGGATTGCTGTGATAGCGTGGAGGCAGGGTTAGGGAGGCAGGGGAGAATCCACACCAACCCAGCAAGAGTCCTCCTGCTACATGCCCGTGAGATGCCCGTGAGCACAGAAAGGCTGCAGCCTTGGCTGCGTAGCTGCCCAAGGCTGGCCCAGGCACACGGCAGAGGGGCATTGTCACAGCCAGGGACCTCACCTGAAAGCGTAGGAGAAGGCTATGAGGGTCAGCGTGACCACGTGGTGGAGAAGCATGACAACGGAGTCCTTGCGCCACGTGTCCATGTAGGCAGTGGCATAGATGGAATGCCCGTAGAAGCTGCACTGCAACAGGTAGGCGATGGCGATGTCCGTGGGCACGTCCATGCCCTTCTTCCAGTCTGGGATGGGACAAAGACACCCGGGTGAACCCAAAGCCACGAGCACAGAGCCTCCGTCAGCAGCAGAGAGACAGGAGTACAAAGAGGGGGAGCAAGCAGCAGCCAGAGCTGCCCCAAGCAGCCCCAGCACTTCGCTCTGCTCAGGCCCTCCCATTCAGAACCTCACAGATGCAAAGGAGGCAAAAGCGGGCAGAGAACCCAGGTATCCTGGCTCCCAAACTCTGCCTTTGGCATTAGACCCACTCCCTCTCCTAGATCTAAGGGAGAAGCCTTGATTTACTTCTCTCCTGCTTTCACTAGTCAATCCCATTCCCCCCCGCAGCTGGCACACCCCAGCCCTGGCTGGCTGCAATAGCCACTAGGTGACTCTCTCGGTAACGAAACGAACGGAGACAGCCCGTTGTGCCCCTTCTGTACCCACAGCATCATAGAAAAGGCAATTTAGGGGTTCAGTCTTCTCTTTTGCTCACCCCAACTCCCGTTCCCTTCTTCAACCCAGACCTCCTATGAACCTGGACATCCTAATCCGTACCCACTTCTCCCTGGTTCTTACTGTACCGTAAAAAACAGATGGTGGGTCATAGAAGAAGGGGTAGTCAGTGAAGAAGAGCAGGTAGATGCCATACGACCAGGATAATGTGTAGAAAAGCAGCTTCCAGGCACTCTCAGGCATCTTGGCAGCATCTTTCGGCTGCAAGTTGCACCACTCCCCGAAGGGCTGCAAGGAAAGGGGAGAAGTATCGTCACGCAGGGCAAAAAGACAGGCCCTGGGGAGCCCAGGGCACCAAATCTCCAAGAGACTCAAGCACTGTATGCTGTGTGCACTACCAGACAGCGCAAAACCAGGGTCATGAACCCCATTTTTCTAGTCATCTTTACAGCATGAATAAGGAGGTTAAAGAGGCTCTAGAGAGAGCCTGAAGCAGTGAAAAACACAAGTCTAGAGATCCTTCCACTCAGCCTCGGCCACTCTGGAAAGCTGCGAAAGCAGAGCCTGGCAGAGAAGGCAGAAGCAGAGGGCATGCATCCCACAGTCTGGGCACCACTCCATCACCCTCGCTCCAGGAGCGGGGCCGACCATAGCTGGCTTTTGCAGAACAGAGTCAATAACTAATAAAATAAAAATCAAGTCCTAT